CTTCCGGACCTTCTAAACTTGGGTTCCTGGTTTTGTAACACTTCCCGCATGAAGTATAACCTACTATAATGAAGATACCATCTTAACCTGAAAACCTCAAACCAGCCTCAAACCCGGAAGCCCTGATTTCGCCAAGCTGCATGGGAGTTCTCTCGGGATCTCGGCCAGTGCTTGCAAACCTTCGGCTTCTCTGAGCGTTAGCAGGGTGTACGGGCTTGGGGCCTAAAAATTATGGTTTATAGGGTTTCTGAGCTCTTGCTTTCGACGTTACATGAAGTCATTAGAATAATAGGATGCGCTTGTTCTTGTGCTGGTCCTGGCAAGCCTGAGCCAAACACTCACACTTCCGACTATCCAAACCCCTAAACCCTAAACCCTAAACCCTAAACCCTAAACCCTAAACCACTAGACCCCCAGAACAAGCTGCTCGATTCAATGGCCAATGCGAGAATGAGTGGCATGTCTGGGTTCTTCAAGCACATCGGATCCTTGCAGATGTTGTACCTGAGGGAGTGTAGGGTTTAGGGTTTAGGGTTTAGGGTTTAGGGTTTAGGGTTTAGGGTTTAGGGTGTAGGGTGTAGGGTGTAGGGTTTAGGGTGTAGGGTTTAGGGGCCCTAAAACCCTGAACCCCAAGACACCCCCCCCCCCCCCCCCCCCCCCCGGCATCCCCCATAGAGGGACAAATGGGGGGACTTCCACGGCTGGGGTAGGGTGGGGGAGGGGGGGGGCAGATAGATATATACATATATATTTCTATGTACATATATATATATATGCGTATATATATATATATGTGTATATATATATATATATATGTGTGTGTGTGTGTGTGTGCATACATATGTCTACATATATATATATATATGTACATAAGTTCAAGGCACTTTCGAACCCGGTGTTGCGCTGCTACACCCTAAACGCAATGAAGCCTGAAACCCGAAACCCTGGGGGAGGGGGGGGGGGGGGTGGTTCACCAACCAGCGAGAAACTGGAGGCACCCCAATATCCCTAAACCCTAAACCCTAAACCCTAAACCCTAAATTAACATGTATATATATATATGTACATACGTTCAAGGCACTTTCGAACCCGGTGTTGCGCTGCTACACCCTAAACGCAATGAAGCCTGAAACCCGAAACCCTGGGGGAGGGGGGGGGGGGGGGGGTGGTTCACCAACCAGCGAGAAACTGGAGGCACCCCAATATCCCTAAACCCTAAACCCTAAACCCTAAATTACAGCTTCCCTGAATTATGTCGCCTGGTCAGTTCTGTTTTTTGTGGTCGCTATGTTTCTTCTCGGTGGATGGGGCTGCTACAGAAAGTTCTATGTTGCTTTGTGCTACAAGCCACTATATGGCCTCGAGTGTCCCAAGACCGGGCACAACTTAGAGAAATGGACATCGACCATGCTTAGGGCAACCCCCTCAAGAGAGAGCCCGCTTTGGAGTCTCCCAGGGTTTTAAGGTTGTAGGGTTTGAGGGTTCAGGGTTTAGCGCTTTCAAGGCTTTTTGGGTGTTGCCTAAGGTTCTAAGGACTTTCAAGGGTTTATTTAGGGATACAGGTTTCAGGGTTTGGGGTTTTGGGTTTAAGGCTTGGGTTGCCGGTTTAGGGGATATATAGTGTTTGCGTCAGGGTTTTGTGTATACGGTGGGAGGAGAATGGGGCAGGGGGCCCTGCCGTATGACACGCAACACGGCAGCGTATATTGGTATTCCTGTTGAGGCTTAATATGTATCTATGTCTCTATAAATAAATAAATATATATATATATATACATATATATGTATATTATATATATATATATACTAATGTGGGTCCACTACAGCTTAATTCATTAGGGCTAGGTGTGGGGTTTAAGTTTAACAAGAAATTCTGCAGACCGGGGCATAGGAGCTTGGAGAGGTCGAGAGGCGGGATGAACAAGTCTCGCATAGCGATCTCGTCACCCTGGTACACCTTTGCTGCTCATAAATGAGGGGTTTAGGGTTTAGGGTTTAGGGTTTAGGGTTTAGGGTTTAGGGTTTAGGGTGTAGGGTGTAGGGTGTAGGGTTTAGGGTTTAGGGTTTAGGGTTTAGGGTTTAGGGTTTAGGGTTTAGGGTTTAGGGTTTAGGGTTTAGGGTTTAGGGTTTAGGGTTTAGGGTTTAGGGTTTAGGGTTTAGGGTTTAGGGTTTAGGGCTTAAGTATCTAGCTAACGCACGACGCACAGCACAAGCTCAAGAGAAAAGTCGAGTTGCCAAGAGCATCCAAGGTGCTACCGGGGTCCCCGGCAGAAGATTGAAGAAGTTGTAGACCTTGCTATGAGGAATACGGGCTTAGGGCTTGAAGGTGCAAGGGTTTAAGGCTTGTAGGGCTTCTCAGACCTGTTCATACATACATATTTGGGAGGGGAGGGAGGGGAGGGAGGGGAGGGAGGGGAGGGAGGGGGGGGAGGGAGGGGAGGGAGGGGAGGGAGGGAGGGAGGGAGGGAGGGGAGGGAGGGGGAGGGGAGGGGAGGGAGGGGAGGGAGGGGAGGGAGGGAGGGAGGGAGGGAGGGGAGGGGAGGGAGGGGAGGGAGAGGGAGGGGAGGAGGGGACGGGAGGGGAGGGGAGGGGAGGGGAGGGAGGGAGGGAGGGAGGGGAGGGAGGGGAGGGAGGGGAGGAGGGGCGGGGGGAGGGGGGGAAGGGAGGGGAGGGAGGGGAGGGGGGAGGGAGGGGAGGGAGGGGAGGGGGGAGGGAGGGGAGGGAGGGGAGGGAGGGGAGGAGGGGAGGAGGGAGGGAGAGGGAGGGGAGGGAGGGGAGGGAGGGGAGGGAGGAGGGGGGAGGGAGGGGAGGGGAGGGGAGGGGAGGGAGGGGAGGGAGGGAGGGAGGGGGAGGGGAGGGAGGGGAGGGGGAGGAGGAGGGAGGGGAGGGGGAGGGAGGGGAGGGCGGGGAGGGGGGAGGGGAGGGAGGGAGGGAGGGGAGGGAGGGGAGGGGAGGGGAGGGAGGGGAGGGAGGGGGAGGGAGGGGAGGGAGGGGAGGGAGAGCTTTGATGGGCACTTGATTGACCTTTCCTAAACCCTAATCCCTCAAGGACCTCGAGGCAGGGACATCCTAAACTATGAAATAAGGGGTACAAGGAGAATCTTATTCCCTCAAAGACATATATATATATATATATATGTATAGATTCATATATATATATATATATATATATATATATATATATGTAAACACATATTTATATACATATTTTATACAGTCCCCATATACCTAGGTAGCCCCCAACAACCCCCAAAGAACCCTTAAGGTCCCTTATAAGGGCAATAGGTCGTGGTAAGCTTACTTCATGGCCTTGGTTGGGTGAAGCCCCCCGGCTCAGCACGAGTTCGAGGTTTGGGGTTTGGGGTTTAGGGTTGAGGGTTTGGGGTTTAGGGATTTGTAAACTGGAGTGTTCAGGGCTCGGGAGGACAGTTTTGCCTGTGCCGAGGAACCGAAGCATCCATACCGCAAACACGTTATGTTGCTGGCCAGTGCCGCGCAGGGCTATTTTTTGTTGGCACACCGGCCTAGTTCGCACTCATGCGCAAGAACACCCTAAACCCTAAACCCTAAACCCTGAACCCTAAACCCTAAACCCTTGCGCAGACCTCCATGTTCAACTAGTGTTGGGAACTCGGGGCTTGACAGTTTTAGGACATCTTAAACCCTGCAAGAAAAAACCGGATGATACAGGCAGGCGCCAAGCCCCTATAAACCCTAAACCCTAAACCCTCAACCCTCAATCCTAAACCCTAAACCCTAAACCCTCAACCCTCAACCCTCAACCCTCAACCCTAAACCCTAAACCCTAAACCCCTTAAGTTTTAAGAACCTTGTGCGACCCACGGGCGGTGGTTGCTAGCGCCGAGTTGTTGTGGAGTCGCTCCATGAGTCGGTGGTTGTCCTCGGCTGAGGGTTTAGGGTTTAGGGTTTAGGGTTTAGGGTTTAGGGTTTAGGGTTTAGGGTTTAGGGTTTAGGGTTTAGAGTTTAGGGTTTAGGGTTTAGGGTTTAGGGTTTAGGGTTTAGGGTTTAGGGTTTAGGGTTTAGGGTTTAGGGTTTAGGGTTTGGGGTTTGGGGTTTGGGGTTTTTAGGGTTTGGGGTTTGGGGTTTGGGGTGTGGGGTGTGGGGTTTGGGGTTTGGGGTTTGGGGTTTGGGGTTTGGGGTTTGGGGTTTGGGGTTTCAGATTTGGGGGTTTCCGACAATAGGGGAACCCTTTTTTGGGGGGGTCCCTTTCAGAGGATTCTATGCTATGTGGGGTATAGAAGGGATACCCCTGTTTGGAGAATACCCATTTAGGGTTTGGGATTTAAGGTATCGGGTGCCTAAGTTGCGCAATTAGGGTTTAGGGTTTAGGGTTTAGGGTTTAGGGTTTAGGGTTTGGGTTTTAGGGTTTAGGGTTTAAAGGGCTTAGGGGAGTTCGGTACTTCATAGTGAATACCCCGTCGATATAGGGAGTATACCGGAAAATGCTGGTATCTATCTTGTTTGTTCTGAGAAGAGAGATTTAGCAGCGCAGCATATAAACCCATAAAGGGTGATGTATAGGGGGGATATACGAGACCTAGTTCCCTAGCTTCCGCTTCAAAAACTGGTCAAGATAACTGCCCAACACATTCCCCTCAAAATCCCCACATGCTTATTGCATAAAGTCGCTGTACCTCCAAAACAATCCAGGCTAGACTGAATATACTCATTGACCACATTCATTCATAGAGTTGTGGGCTTGTGTGGTTCGGTTGTTATGGTGGTTGAAGACTTTTTTGACCTCGGGCCGAAGTCCCGCGTAGACCCAAAGCGCATGATTCCATACAAGTCCTTATGAACCCCTAAACCCTAAACCCAAAACTAAACCCCAAACCCTAAACCCCAAACCCCAAACCCTAAACCCTAAACCCTAAACCCTAACCCCTAAACCCCAAACCCTAACTAAACCCTAAACCCGACATGTCCGGCTCCCCGATGCATCCCTGGACTGCAGCCTTGCCAGACCGAGACCGAGCTGCATGGTTGCCCAGCACCCAGTTCCCATGGCACCACTCCTCTCGGTTTAGGGTTTAGGGTTTAGGGTTTAGGGTTTAGGGTTTAGGGTTTAGGGTTTAGGGTTTAGGGTTTAGGGTTTAGGGTTTAGGGTTTAGGGTTTAGAGTTTAGGGTTTAGGGTTTAGGGTTTAGGGTTTAGGGTTCGGGGTTCGGGGTTCGGGGTTCGGGGTTCAGGGTTCAGGGTTTAGGGGTTAGGGGGTGTTTACGGCTACCCAAGAACTTTTCTGGGGCTTAGGGTTTCGGGTCTAGGCTTTCGGGTTTAAGGGCTACTGAAGCAAGAAATGAGATCTCGGAGTGACCTACTAGACCCAGAAGTATCCTAGGAATGAAAAGGGTAATTACCCTTTTGGTATGAAGGGGATTAGAAGGGAACCCGGCCTACTCCAGGTCCTAGCCCTAAACCCTAAACCCTAAACCCTAAACCCTAAACCCTAAACCCTAAACCCTAAACCCTAAGCCCTAAGCCCTAAGCCCTAAGCCCTAAGCCCTAATCATAAGGTCCTGGCCTAGGAAATACCGCGCACAGGAGTGGCGGTTATCAGTTTTCGTCTCGGTGCAACCTGACAAAGTTTGGGTTGGATGCAAGGCCCCGCTGCAAGACCCTGAATTAGGGTTTAAAGTTTAGGGTTTAGGGTTTAGGGTTTAGGGTTTAGGGTTTAGGGTTGTCGTCGAAACATAAACCCTTCTCACCAACCAGGCTTTCTCATCTTGTATCCCGAAGTCACTTCCCTGATTATGGGCTCACTCACCCCCCACCCACCCCCAACACCCCCTCCCCGTCAAAGTATTTAACTGAACTCCAATGTCAAATTTCGGGTCCACTATGGAGTTTAGGGATTGGGGACTAACTACGTTTAGGGCTTCGAGTTGAGGGCTCCTAAACCCTAGACCCTGCACAACAACCCTAAACCCGACTGACACTACGCACACGCACACGCACACGCACACGCACACGCACACGCACACGCACACGCACACGCGCACGCACACGCACACGCACACGCACACGCACACGCACACGCACACGCACACGCACACGCACACGCACACGCACACACAAGCATCTCCCATGCGGCGTCTCCGGCAGCGCTTGCGCATATCTCTTGACGGCGTCGCGGACGACCGAGGCGAGGCGAAGATCGTTGGGCTTGCCATAGTCCTGCAAGGGGCATCTATACTGCGTTTGGAATCATAGTTCAAAGGGCTTCGCTGTATCCCTTGGGGTATATTACATATGCATGTACGTATGAATGTATGTAGGTATGTATTTCTTATTAGTAAAAATAAATATGTAAATAAATACATAAACAAACTAATTAGTGAATTAGTGAATTTGTGAATTAGTGAATTAGTGAATTAGTGAATTCGTTAATTAGTTAAATAGTTAATTAGTTGAATAGTTAATTAGTTAATTAGTTAATTAGTTAATTAGTTAATTAGTTAATTAGTTAATTAGTTAATTAGTTTATTAGTTAATCAGTTAATTAGTTAATTTGGTTAATTTGTTAATTAGTTAATTAGTTAATTAGTTAACTTGTTAATTAATTAGTTTATATATATATATATACATACATGAGCCCGGATCCCTTAGGGCATATTTAGCATAGGGTGTTCTTTTCTATATCAATATTCTCGTACGTAAGTGTACACCCATACCATTAATGCGGGCCACCGAGTTCCCCACACCATGTGCTTGTATAAAAACTCATTTACTTGGTTCCTTACCATTTCAGGTTGAGGGTGTGTGCGGCACACGGGACATGCATGCCTTTATGGGTCAGGCTTTATGGTTAAGGTTTAGGATGTATTGTCGGCCACAGAGTTTTCTGCTTTCGGGATGTGGCATGGAGAAGCCTTCTATCTTCCAGATGAGGGGAAATAGTTGTTGCTGATACACTTCTTTTACCTAATGCTGCTAGATCTTTAGTTATCTTCTTTTCTAGTTTGCAGATCAAAGAATTTCGTATTCTCGCATATTCAACTAATGATTCCCTTGATCAATGCATCACAACAGAGTACACCCTAAACCTCAAAGCCTAAAGCCCAAACCCTGGCAACCTCAACCCTAGAACCTAGAGGGGCCCCTCGACGCCTTTTCGCCATGAACCGCCAACTAGGGAGGAACCGGTGGTGGAGTTTGGGGCCCATAAAAGGAGTGTCAATGGGTTATATCGGTTTAGGGTTTTAGAGTTTAGGTTTAGGGTTCCGTGACAGTAAAGGGCTACATTGTTACATCGGGAATAGGGCCCGTAGAAGATGTAGATTTATTCCAAATCAACACTAGGAACAAGATTAACCTTCGGGCTTTCTCAAGGTTTAGAGCGTACCTGCTCCGCACCCAAGCCCAAGAAAGAAGCTGATCTGGTGTTCGGAAGGCGAGAGAAGCCGATGAACCATGATGTGCAGGTATATATAGCCCTGCAGCCTGGATCCCAGCCACAGTCCCTCCATATATAAGTTCGTACCTAGGCCGGCCCTTAAAAAACACTCTGAAATGATACTCCGAAATACGATCCTCGTGAACCCAATAAGGGTTTAGTTAGGGCTAAGGGTTTAGGGTTTAGGGTTTTAGGGTTTAGGGTTGAGGGTTGAGGGTTTAGGGTTTAGGGTTTAGGGTTTAGGGTTTAGGGCTCAGGGCTCAGGGTTTAGGGTTTAGGGTTTAGGGTTCAGTTCCCAAGGGCCCTGAACCCATTACTCACCGCGCCCGTCCTGACCGAGGACCTTCGGCTGGAGCACAGGCTAGCCCGGCAGTTAGGGTTTAGGGTTTGGGGTTTGGGGTTTAGGGTTTAGGGCTTAGGGTTTAGGGTTTAGGGTTTGGGGTTTGGGGTTTGGGGTTTGGGGTTTAGGGTTTAGGGTTTAGGGCTTAGGTTTCAGGCTTGAGAAGGCCCTGAACCCCACATAGCCCCAACAGCCTACAAACCCGTGGCCCCTCCAAACACCCCACAGCGTGGCTTCATGCTCCGTCATTTAGGGTTTAGGATTTTGGTTTCCAGATGACTTTTAAAAAGCCTCCCAAGCCAACAACCCTGCAAACGACAACCCTATGCAAACCCGCTATCCATCTATCTATCTATAGATACATATACTCATCACATATCTGTATATATGTACACATACTTGAAAGACAATACTAACTTCTGTTACTTCTGTTGCCCCAATATATAGGCCCCGTGCCTCATAAAGGTCACTCCTTCAGCCCTGCCATGAGGCACCCCATGATCCCCAACCCTAATCTCTAAAAGCCTAAACTTTAGGAGGTTTAGGGGTTATAAGCTCCGTAGCGCCCACCCCACCCCTCCTAGCCTCAACCCTGAACCCTAAACCCTAAACCCTAAACCCTAAACACTAAACACTAAACCCTAAACCCTAAACCCTAAACCCTAAATCCCCCCCCCCGCCCGGAGCAGTCCCTTCTTCAAGTCTCGAGACCTCGAAGTTGAAGGGAACGTTGAACTCGGGCTTCTCTGTGGTGCCTGCTGCATGGCGACTTTAGGGTTTAGGGTTTAGGGTTTAGGGTTTAGGGTTTAGGGTTCAGGGTTCAGGGTTCATGGTTCAGGGTTCAGGGTTCAGGGTTCAGGGTTTAGGGTTTAGGGTTTAGGGTTTAGGGTGTAGGGTTTAGGGTTTAGGGTTTAGGGCTCAGGGTTTAGGGTTTAGGGTTTAGGGTTTAGGGTTTAGGGTTTAGGGTTTAGGGTTTAGGGTTTAGGGTTTAGGGCCCCTCTTGGGGTCCCCTAGTAGAATCCCTTTTAGGGACTGTTAGTTTCAGGGGGGAACATCCCAAGTTTAGGGTGTGGGGTGTAGGGTTGAGTTTTTGGGGGTTTAGGGGTTTAGGGGTTTAGGGGTTTAGGGGTTTAGGGGTTTTAGGGGTTTTAGGGGTTTTGGGGTTTTGGGGTGTTGGGGTTTTGGGGTTTTGGGTTTTAGGGGTTTAGGGGTTTAGGGGTTCTAGGGGTTCTAGGGGTTCTAGGGGTTCTAGGGGTTCTAGGGGTTCTAGGGGTTCTAGTTCTAGGGGTTCTAGGTCTTTTGGGGATATGGGTTTTGGGGCTTAGGGGTGCTGGCGGTTTTGGGGTTTTGGGGGGGGCTTTGGGGCTTGGAGGTTTTGGGATTTGGGGGCGAGGCTTTAGGGCTCTAGGGTTTTTTTGAGGTTCTGTGTTTGGGGCTTTCGGGTTTCTGGCTCGGGGTTTAGGAGCTTTCACCAGAGCCAAGGGAAACCTAGCAGGGAAACCTAACCAACAAAAGGGTAACCTTCTGGTTTAAATACGGGCTTACTAAAGAACGGGAACAAGGTCCTACTCTGGGTCCTAGTTCAAGGGTCCTACTACAAAGTTTGAGAGCGCCCGCGGCATGATTCTACGTGCGGGATATTTGTGCCTCAAGCCCGAAGCCCATACATGTGAACCCACGTTTCTGTGCACCCGGGCCGTAGTACTCCATGAGGTCATGGAGTGGCGCGTAGATCTCGCCAAAGATGACGCGGTCATCAAACTCGTCGATCTGAGGCATGGCTGCATTTGGAGTTTCAATGTTCGGGCTGGTCGGTTCAAACCAAGAACACCCTCCTTGACTAGTTCTTTAGGATTTGCAAGACGATGTCACAATGGGCTGGAACTCAAACTTCAAATCCGAAACTAAACACACAAACCCTAAACCCACTTCGAGCACGATATCGGCCCACCGCAATCAAGACGCCGTCTGGCGCCAGCCATGGATGATGTCGTGGTTCTTGGGGTCATTCTGCGTGTAGTTGTGCACCCTCGGTTTAGGGCTTAGGGTTTAGGGTTAGGGTTTAGGGTTCAGGGCTTAGGGTTTAGGGCTTTGGGATTTGGGATGTAGGGCTTAAGAGAGCACAGCGCCACTGACCCACCCTACGGGCAAATCTTAGCTGGCATGAAAGCATCTGTCCTGACCCGAATGAAAAGGTTGCCCTTTTGGTCTACTAGTTCCGACCCCTCCCCTCCTCACCCCCCGGCCCCCACGGTTTAGGGCTTAGGTCTGGGGCTTTGGGGATGGTTTTTAGGGGCTGAGCGTTTAGGATTTAAGGGGGGGGCTTAGGGGTTTCGGGGTTTACTGTAGGGGTTTCGCGCTTAGGGGCTGAGGGTTTACCAGGGTTAGTGCTTAGTGTTGAGCGCTTGCCAGCAGCTACTTAGAAGCTCCTTTGACTTAGTAAGTCTACTTCGTAACCCCTAGAAACCATGTCATAATCCCCATAGCCCACCTTTCTAACCCTACTTACTAAGTAACCCTAAACCCTAAACCCTACACCCTAAACCCTAAACCCTAAACCCTAAACGTACTAAGTCAAAGAGCTTGCAGCTAAAGAACTTGGGCCTCCACCTCCCTACTCCCAAAGTTAACCCCAAAAACGAAACCCCGGGAGCGGGCCCCCAAACCCTAAACCTACACAAACCCTAAAATCCTTAGGGCTTATGGTTTAGGGTTTAGGGTTTAGGGTCTAGGGTCTAGGGTCTAGGGTTTAGGGTTTAGGGTTTAGGGTTCAGGGTTCAGGGTTCAGGGTTGAGGGTTGAGGGTTTAGGGTATAGGGTTTAGGGTTTAATTAGGGCTAAACTGGCTAAACCGCATGGCATATACATCCTATCTCCGCATGGTGGCGACCAACTGCTGACTGGCCGCATGCAGTTCCAAATGGGACTTGTCTTAGCGCAGGTCGCGTTGTAGGCCTCGTCACGAAACTTCTCGTCCTCCGCTCGCTTTTTTCCTAAACCCTCAAAACCCTAGACCACAAGGCTATTCCAGCCAAAAACCCATGACTCTTGGGGTAATTCATGGGCCCTGAATATGGGCCCTGCTTGAGGAACCCTAAAATCCCGCTGATATACCTCTCTAATTACAAGGGCCCCTACTTTAGAACCCTCCAAGAAAGGCAAAGGGCCTTAGCAAGGGAAGCTACCCTTGGAGTGATTTTAGGGTTTAGGGTTTAAGGTTTCGGGGTTGACACCCTAACATTTCCTAAGATCTCTACAGGCCCTACATCCCTCCTCCAGGAGGAAGGGCACGGCGTCGATCCTGAAGCCACCAACCTGTCATTCCAGTTTAGGGTTTAGGGTTTAGGGTTTAGGGTTTAGGGTTTAGGGCTTAGGGTTTAGGGTTTAGGGTTTAGGGTTTAGGGGTTTTGGGTTTAGGGTTTAGGGTTTTAGGGTCTAGGGTTTGGGGTTTACTTTCCATTGCTGGCTTGCTGGCGGACAGACCAAGTTCCTCCATGCTTGTCAGTCCTCACACTCGCAGGCTCGTCGTCGGCTGGAACCATTGCAGCTGCACATGGAAGTGGGCTGTCATCGTCAAAATCAATTGCAGCTTCAGCATGAAGACAGGGGAGGTGTATCTGCCACGGCATCAGCCTTGTGTCTCGCAACGTTCGTGCAAAACTTCCTACAACCCTACAGGAACACGCCAAGCCCAAACCCAACTCCCCCCCTCCATAAAACAACAACAAAAACAAAGAAAACAAACTTAAAACCCCAAACCCCAAAAAGTCAAGAAAAGACCTCCCCCCCCCCCAAAAAAAAAAAAGAAAAGAAACAAAGAAAAGAATACGCACAACAAAAACAATAATGAAAACCCAAAGCACCGAAAAACACCCTCAACCTTCCACGCTCCCCCCTCGTGCCCGGCAGATTTAGTGATCCTTTGGTCATCGCCGGCCAGGAGACCATCGCCAAACTTATTCCTTTTAGGGTTTAGGCCTGAACTCAGACAACAGTCCATTTCTAAAACCTTCTTCCGGACGTTCATGTTCAGGGCGTTGTTTGAGTCCAAGCCGGTTTGAAGGAGGTCCGGGGTCCAAGGTTTCAGGTCCCATGAACTTGATTTAATATAAAATGTCAATTTGAAATAGGGAAAGAGTCAGGGTCGCAGGGGGTCTCAAGCGGGTCTCAAGGGGTCAGGGGGGGTTGGAAGCATTTTTTTGAGACCTGCTCGCCGACCTGGCCAGAGGCCCCTGGTCCTTGGGCACGCTGCAGCGAGGGGTCAGCCACCCCCAGGGTCATGACCTGAAAATTTAAGGTAATTACTTTGTAAAGTAACAGGTTCGTGGGCGAGCTGTGCGAGGCGGGCGAACGACCTGGGTTGGCTTGCGCCATCGAGGTCGAAGGGCTATCGCGCCGCCCCCCCTCTGGTGGCCTAGGCCCTGAGTTTAGGGTCTAGGGTCTAGGTCTAGGGTTTAGGGTTTAGGGCTTAGGGTTTAGGGCTTATGGTTAGGGTTTAGGGTTCAGGGCTTAGGGCTTTGGGGTTTAGGGTGTCTACAAACCCTACATCTTCAGCCTTTTCAGCCCCCTGAATGGCGCCAGCACCACTGGATTCGTCCACAAGGGGGGTTTGAAACTCTCAAACGCCAGGCCGCCACACCCTCAAACCCTAAACCCCAAAACCCAAAACACTGTTTTGCAGCTGGAACTCCGGGAGCCAATCAGCCAGATAACTCGCAGCACGTCCGACCCTCAGCAAACCCAACCCTAAAACCCCCAAACCCGAAAACGCCAAACCCCATATCCAACCAGGTTCCCCAGTACCCGCCACCCCCAAAACCCTAGCATCCCAAACCTCACTGAAAGTTTCACTCAGAGATTCCAAAGTGGCGAGATGAACCGCGGTTTAGGGCTTAGGGTTCAGGGTTAAACAACACCATAACCCTAGCCTCTGACAAGCCCGATTCCTCCTAAACCCTGAAGCCTAGAGCCTGGCCTAAAGCCCTAAGCCCTAAGCCCTAAACCCTAAACCCTAAACCCTAAACCCTAAGCCCTAAACCCCGAAGACCACAGGCCAGAAGGGCCCCCAAGCGCAGCCAAAAGCGAAGAACCTCCTGCATGGCCTGAGCGAAGAAGAGTTGGGGTTGATAGGGCTTCGAGGGTTCTCATTAGCAACCAGGGGGCCCTACAACATAACCCCCTTAACCCTAAGCCCTAAACCCCTGAACTCTTTAAGCCCTAACCCTAAACCCTAAACCCTAAACCGCCTGAACCCTACCGGCAAGTACGCAGTTCTGTGTAGGAGGCCTACCCTGAAAACCCTAAACTTCATCAACCCTCAACCCCAGCATGCCTAAGAGCCCCAAGAGGCCAGCTCTGTCGACTCTGTAACCCCCATCAGACCGCCCTGATAGCTTGGTTTGAGACGCAAACTCCCTGAACCACGACAATTCATATTCCTTGGGATGTACCCCCCTTCTACTAACAGTCCTGAATAGAGCCCTATTGAGGACTGTTAGTCTCAGGGGGGGGGGGGGGGAAGTCCCAACATATTCCTGTTAAACCAAAATCCTCAACCCCTAAAACCTAAATCCAAAACCCTAAATCTCAGGGTAGTTATATGGGCTCTTAACATGGTCTTTACCTCCTTCAGAGGGTTCTGAAATGCGGGCCCTTGGGTCGTAGAGGGATACATAAGGGCCCCCATTTAAGGGGCCATACTAAGGGGGGAACTCCCTTCTAACAAAAACCCAACCCTGAACCCCTACCCCCCCAACTTCAAACCCTAAACCCTTGAGCCCCTAAACCCTAAACCCAAAGCCCCCAAAGCCCAGCAGCCGGGACCCAATTTCCCTAAGGTTCAGGGCTTGGGGCACATGACTTGCCACAGGCACAGCCATAGCCCTAAACCCTAAACCCTAAACCCTAAACCCTAAACCCTAAACCCTAAACCCTAAACCCTAAACCCTGACTCCTAAACCCTGACTCCTAAACCCTAAACCTTAAACCCTAAACCCTAAACGCTAAAAACCTGCATCTTGCCTCCACAACTTCCGGGTTCCGGTAGTTCCTCGGTTAGTGTTCAGGGTTTAGGGTTTAGGGTTTAGGGCTTAGGGCTTAGGGCTTAGGGCTTGGGGCTTAGGGCTTAGGGTTTAGGGTTTAGGGTTTAGGGTTTAGGGTTTAGGGTTTAGGGCTTAGGGCTTAGGGCTTAGGGCTTGGGGCTTAGGGCTTAGGGCTTAGGGCTTAGGGCTTAGGGTTTAGGGTTTAGGGTTTAGGGTTTAGGGTTCAGGGTTTAGGGCTTAGGGCTTAGGGTTTAGGGTTTAGGGTTTAGGGTTTCGGGTTTCGGAATGGCAGATGCGCACGTAACACCCTAAGCACTCAGGTCCAGGTGACGGACCCAACACACCAAGCCCATTCGAGAAGCATCTTTCCCACTTAGACCCCTTGGGCCCGCGCCTTTCTGTGTTTAGCATTGCAGGATTGGGGTATAGAAGTCAATTTAAGGTTTAGGGTTTAGGGTTTAGGGTTCAGGGTTTAGGGTTTAGAGTTTAGGAGTCAAGGTTTAGGGCTTCCAAAAGACATCCAGGCTTCAAATCTGGCTGGAACTCGCCGAAAGCATGGTAGTAGTACTCCTGCGCTGCCCGAGATCCGAAACCCTAAACCCTAAACCCTAAGCCCCAAACCCCAAACCCTAAACCCTAAACCCTAAACTGGACAAGTTGTCGGCTTCTCGGGTGTTTGCAGGGTTGCCCGTATGATGTTCCTATGCCTGCTTCTTCTTTGGCAGTACAG